TCCAGCAACTCTGTATGCCCAACTGCATGTGCGAGTTGCAGCGGCTCCTTCGCCTTTGATAGACGATTTATTAAGCGTTTTATTATTAGTTTTCCCGTTCGGTGGCTTTTGTGGCGTTTTTGATTACAAATTCCAGGGCTTCCGAGTCTTGTAATTACCAAAAACGACCGAAAAATGGCCGGATATCCAATTGTTGGAGATTCTTTTTGCGGCTATCGGTAAGATAGATGGGCTGCTAAAGTGTTTACTCTAACAACCAGGCAATTTTATTGCTTAAAGCTTTTACTTTACATTTTAGCTTTAGCAGTGCGTTTGTATATTTCAGACGTAACACCCACGGCTCTCAAATTTCCATCGTGCATCTAATGACATCCCATCAGTTTTGAAATGCTAGCCTCTGGAGTTTTGCTACTTTGGGGGGAAACGTGTTAAAATTTCCCAAAACGACACTTGCACGTAACATGTCATGCCAACATATAATTATATTATTGCTGTATTTCTTTGTTTTTACACATGCTATCCGTACGGTGACTTTGAGCCCGGTCCAGTATCCGTTTTGGCCATGGCCATGCAACTGAGATCTTTACCAGCTGATAAACAGTACAGGAGTACAGATGCACTGAGAATAACTTACTTAATAATGCAATATTCGTTAGTACCCGCAAAGCTATTTATGGAAATCACTATATTACAAAATATTCTACAAAGTATAAAATGCTTGAAGCAGATTCTGTATATGAGACATGCGTGTTTTTACAAGTGTACACTGCAACACAAAAAGTAACGGCAACAATGGGGAAGCAACGCACGTGTTAACAAGGATGCGATAAAAAATAGTGGAAGTGAGGAAGTAAATGCCGGAATGACAGGAAATATGTGTGCGTGACATTGTTACTTGGGTCTGCCGACCGGAACCAAAAGTGGGTGGCTCCCATTCTCGCTATTCCACGTCTGCTGGATGTCAACACGAAAGCAACAGGATATGTGTATACACAATTACATAGAATATGCACCACCTACTTGGTATATGTATCACAGAACTGCATGTACGAATTTCACAGAGTTAGCTGAAATGCAATAAGAGATCAATGCCAGAACAATTGTTGCAAAGGAAATCAGCTCGAAGAAGTATTTTTGAGAGTACTAGGAGTATAAATAATAGATGTTGAATTCCGCACCTATACAATACATTTTCGATGAGATGCCAAAGTTGCCACCAAAGTTTGCCGCTAACTTTGCGCCTGAATACCCCGTGGGATCATCGGTCCCATCCCCGCCCACATTCAATGGAAATTTGATACCTTGCATTTTAGCTAAACTTTCAACTTTTGGGGTCCATTAATCAATTAATTACGTATTTTATGAATATTTCACGGGGGAGCGACGACTTGGCATCATCACAATCGCTTGGCTTTTTGGGAAGTATGGAGCTATCTGGGGAAATGGGCATTTTCGTAAGGAGTTTACCGCATGAATATTTTAGAGGAAGTATTCCAGACAACCGGGAAAAGAGTTTTGCCGGCATAATCGAGGGCCCGTTGACGAGATAATAAGTTGAGGCCGGCAGTAAGGGATAATGAGTTCGAGTTGATGAACAGCCAACTTTCCGAGAAATAAGCAATAAGAATATGCGAGGAAGGGTTGCGAGCGAAAAAAAAAAAAAAACAAAAAACTTTCCGACTAATTAATTAAATGCGCTATAAAAATGTTTGCTGTTCTTGGTCTGGCAAAAGTTGGGGGCATTAAAAATGGGCGGCAGCCAAGGAAATGCCGGAAAAGAGTGCACGGCAAATGTTTAAGTTATGCGAAAATGTTGACGCAAAAAATTATGCAGGTGGGTAGCGGTTGGTTGTTTGAGTTTCCACTGTATTGACATTTTTTCAGCCACCATCGCGATAAGAAAAAGTTTTTAATGAGTTTACCAAATGCCGCGCAATGCTTAGAAGAACTCGAGATGTTCAGTTGGCTGCGGAAAGTTTCGAGTTTGGCTCGTGTATGCCACGATTAATTTATTAGAATTTTATTTGAAGCTTAAAAGTTTCTGAGGCGTTTTCAGAAATAATTACCCAAAGCATTTCTAATTTATGGACTAACTTAACTAACAAAATCTATCTCCCGATTAAAATAAGCTCATTCGAAGCCAAAGCAAGATTAATGTCTATATTAGATCGTAAATTTGTATAATTTGAATAATTTGCTATACATGCTATCCATTTATCCTATTCAATAACCAGTACGATGTTTGGACGAATAAAAATGCTTTGCCATTACGTTAATAGTTTTTCCTGTTTCAGTAAATATATTCTGCTGTAAATATCCTTGAACCGAGTAGGTCTAGTGTCTAGTGCAGGTTCCTTGCTCGACGTCCTGCTTACAATCGCTCATTTGTCAACATCATTCACAATAGCTGTCAATGGCAAGGAACTCGGGGGATTTCCAGCGCTATTCAATGCACCTTGCTACCAATTTCACATACATATAGCCGCCCTTGGGGCACATACATTCCCATATTTACCTGCCCCACACATTAATGGTCAATTTCATTCCTATTTGATTGCATAGGATTGTATGTGTCTGGGCCAGAGAAGAGTGGACCGGACCTCTTGCAAATTACCGCGCCTCCTGTGGAGCACACTAACTGCGCGTTTGTGGAGCTCAATCGGTTTACGGGCACCCCGAATCTCCTTCGCATCCTCCGAAGGACCTCATGTGGGTTTTGTCAAATTAGCGCATCGTTTGTTGTGCGCTCCATTGGGCTCTTCGAACAGAAAAACGCAAAAACTTGTTAATTTAAAGTCGAATACCCGGCTGGCCATTTCCTCAGTAGGCGCCACTTGGCTTCAAGTGGTTCGCAGTGGGGTTCAAGCATTTATTCACAAGATGGGTATGCAAATAAGACAATACCACTTGGAGAAATGTGAACACAGTTGGGATTTTACCAAATATATTTTAAGATCTTTTTCAGTAAGTCAATGGAGGGAGATGACACCTTTAATATTTCTAATAATTTCCAGAATTTATGCTTTTGAACGCACTCTTTTGAGATATTTTTTCACCAGGCGGCAAATTCCACCCAGAACAATCGACATCGAACTTCAATTAACGAGCCTAGCTCGAATCGTTCAAATGACTCCCATCTGGCAGCTTTTTAGCCAAATTTCCCCCCGGCAATCCGTATCTAAGCCAAAGCCAACATCGTTGGCATCCGGTGGGCATCGTTATTTGATGTCCTCGAATATCTAGCCGTTACATTCATCAAACAAGCGAATGGATATTACTTCATCGAGTGCTATATTAAATACTTGAACCGAGCGAACAACGAAATTGTCAACGAACAGCAATCGAAACGACCTCAAAAGTGGGTGGGCATGGGAGTTGTGTGGGGCGGGGGCTAGGTAAAAGTGACTGCTGCGAGCACGAAACAAAAGTAAATTGCAATAAAAGTTTTGTAATTGACAAACGGACAACAAACAAAACTCCACTTCACTTGTCGGTTGTCGTTGTTTGCTGGACAGAAGCTCGGTCAACGGATGGGATGTGGTTTGGTGGGTGGTGGTCCAAATCGGTTGGGCTCAAGCGGTGGGTCCGATGGAGTTGAGGGGGGTGGGTCAAAGAGGGGGCAGTGGGTTGACTGAAGTCCGCGCTGTTGGAGGCTAAACAACTGGCGCTGGCATCAACAAAAACCGATTTTCCAAAAAACAGGAAGCGGCAACAGCAGCGCGAATGTTGGCTAAATCAGGGGCCCAGTTTTGCCCCACATCATCATTACACCTAAAAATAAAGCTAACGATTTCTGAAAAACATATAAAGCATTTTAGTTATGATTGCATATGCAACTTTTAAGTTTTGAGAAGCTGCGGTAACAATAAAACGCGCTTCCAGCTAGCCAATTAATTGCTTTAATTAGTGGATTTCTAATCATTTTGAAATTCTGTTAGATTTTTGACAGTGCAGTGACCAACCTACTGACAAGTCTGTCTCATCATTTCGTACATTTGCGCCCGCATATTGACTTTGAGCGAGGCGCACAAACGATTCACAGATTCAAGAAATAAAAGTTTAGTGCTCCGGCGAGCAAATCTGTAGCCGCCAATGCCAAAACAGCCGAGCCACCCAACCTGAGCCCACACCACACACAGAGCATCGGGTGGTGTGGGTGCTGTGGGTGGTGTGGGTGGTGCACCCTCTGTCAAAGCAAACAAAAGACGCGTCTGTGGTCGTTGCTACCCCAACCGCTCCTCCAGGACCCAGTGAATCACCCATCGAACTACACACTTTGCCGGCGACTGTCAAACGCAAAATGTCGCCGGTGGCTCGGGGACTTTGACTTGTCGGATCTGGATCTGAATCGGATTCGAAATCGGAATAGGGATCGGGTTGGATGCTGAAACACGCTGGGCTGCAGGGCTCATTGGGCACAATTAAATAGCATCGCGCGTTTTGGTGCAGCACAAAAAATGGCCACAAAAAAGGGGCAGTTAAACAAAGAAGGAGCCGGGCTATCATGATTGCTCAACTTTTATTAGGAAATTCGAAAAGGTTGTGTATGATATCCTCGTGTATATAATAGTATTAATACTTAGTTTGTTCAACATAGTCCGTCACATTTACCAGAACTGCTTTATTAAATAAATGCGATAAAAACAGAACAGAACCGTTCTGAAAAAGCCATTTAAAACAATTTGTCAACGGCACTGAAAACCGAAAGAGCCGGACAGAGAAATCCATAAAAAAGAAAAACTGGAGAGGAAACCGAAAATGTGAAAATGAAAATAATAATGAAGGAATGAATTATGAACTTATACGCGCCAGACCCGAAGGACCCTGCCAACTGAATATTGCACTACCAACCTACTACCAACCCACTTGGCCACCCCATCCTCTATTTTTTGGGACGTGAGAGGAAAGCAAAAATGGTGTGGCACGAAAATGATTGTGTATGTTAAGTTTGGCACGCGCCACGCCTACAATAAACCGCAAAAGTCAAAAGGAGCGACCGGATGGGGAATATAAAGATGGAGAGAGATAGAGTGCCCACAAAAGTATGCAACATATTTCACAGTTCGAGGCAGATGGCGATGGAAAAGGACAAAACAGACCCAAGGGAAGCCCCCACTGTCGCCACACGCCCACTCGCCCATTCTCAAAAGCGTGACTGCTACTTGCAGAATCCCCGAGCGATCCCCTTACGCCCCCTTCTTACCCACCCCTGAATCACCCCTTCCTTTTGAAGAAGAATTTTTGAATTATGTGCGCTCTGGGCGTAAGTTATACTTAACTACATGCCGCAAAAGTTGCTACGCTCTGTGTCATGTTTATTGCGATTTCATGTGCCATTACACCCACTGGAGCGACAGAGACGGAGCTAAGGAAGGCGAATGAGATGGCGACAGCCAACGAAACGGCCTGCTAATCTGTTGATAAATAAACCGAGTGCACAACTTGATGGCTTCATATCAACTATAGGTGCACAGAAAAAAACTAGACTTAAACTTTTAAAAAATCCCGCTTTATTAGGAGTGCAGTTTATAAGGAAAATCAATCTTGCACTTTAGACATCTAATGAAGTTACTTTACTTTAAACAATCGTTAAGGAGTTCTCAAGAGGTAATGAGGAATTCAAAATATCAACCTAATTTAAATGCTATGTCACTAGAGCTTAAATATTCCTTGTATTTTGTAACATGCAATTTATAAATTTAAGACAGAATGATTTATTTTCTGTGTAATAAAGACAAATGTCAAAGCATTTTTACCTGTGCCATGGCCACACTTTTCCTACTCCCTACGAATTTTTACATGCATCTCACGTCGCTCTCGCACGCAAATGTGACCAGAGTCATGAGATCTGCCATTGTTGTTTTTGTCATTCATCACGGGCGTCGAGAAGGGGGATGTGTAAATAAAAAATTGTCACTTTGACACGTCTGATGGGTGACAATTTCCCTATTTGCACCCCTCCAGCGGCACTTTGAATTTATTCGCCTATTTCCGAGCTTTTATTCGATATCGTATTTATTCATCCTATTTATTCGAAGCTAGCTTTCTGAAACAGGCGAAACCTATTTAGATTAGACTTGGACTTTAACTTTGGGCTGCTGTATTAATTTAATTGGATTCAGTTGTTCTGTTAAATGTTAAAGCATCACTTAGTTTTCATACAGAGACTTAACGAGCGAGATGCGAATTTTGTGGATTGTAGCTATATCGGTCTCGTGGCAATTTTCAGACGCCTATTTTTTTATGCCCAAATTTCTGTGTATTCCACCATTTGTGGCCATTAATGGAAGCTGCCTCATTCCCACCACCACAAAACCGTTGATCCCGGTAAGGAAAACTAATCATAAAATCTTATATATGCCTTAAGTAGCTTTGATACCACCACCTTTATCATCTCCAACACTCAATATTCGTAGCCCTGTTCGAAGAACCCTCAAAACTCAACGGTACTTCCGGAAAATCCTGAAATAGTTACGGTTACTCCCCCGGATTTATTACCGGAAGATGGCGATAGTATCGGAGAAAACATTGCTAAAGATAAAGAGCCTTCCCTTCCTATCAAAGTTCCAGTAAAATTGATTCACTCATGTTTTTGAAAATGAATTCAAGCTAAAAATATTTATTTAATAGGCTGTTCCCAGTGAAAATGAAGTATCAACTGAAAGTTCAGTAAATACTTCAAGTCCGGCACCCGACGACACCATTATTAGTAATCCGGAAATTATACCACCAGTAAGAAAAATATGGTTTTGTCAACTTCCTTAAATCCCTTGTAATTCATTTAATAGAGTAAACATGTCAACTCGAGCGAAATTTTAACAAATCCTGGGCAGGAAACAGATGGAAGCCAACACCCGGGAAAAGGAACTACATTAAAACCGGTAAGAAAATGCGTAATTGCAGAAAATATTTTGTTGAGAAACCTAACAAGATTAAATACCAATTATATTTATTTAGCCCATTTCAGAAGATTCCCCAATAAAATTCCCCAACCTTTTGATTTTTTTTAATTTTTTAATAGATTGTTCCTGATGCAAATAAAGTATCTACTGAGAGTTCAGCTAATACAACAAATTTGGATCCCAATGACAACATTATTAAGAAGCCGGAAGTATCCGACCAAAACGTAAGAAAACCGGAAACTATATCACAATTTATTTTTATTATATTATACCCTATAATTAATAATTTCAAGCCAATTTCGGAAAACCCTACGAGAAACAAAACAGATTCTGAATCAAACAAAATTATCGGTGAGGATTTATTACCTGAACACGTGGGAAATCAAACCAAGCCATCGAGCAATTCCTCAACTAACGTAAGTACTCAAAGTACTGAGTAGAGTACTTAGAAATAAAATTTCAAAGTTTGCTATTTGGTATTATATTACTCGTATCAGAATTCATTCCCTAAGGCATAGTCAACATTGTTTTTCAGATAACTGGTACAACGCCGGGAAATCCACCAACGAATCCCATAATTTCTGGCACAGATAATTTGGGCAACGTTATTTTGCCTCCGGTAAGTATTATATTCAAAACTAATGCCAAAAACCAACCATTTTTGTTAGATTTCAGGAGGAAGTGTCGGAGGTCTTCCGATAACTCCTTCAATTCCTGATACAGATGAAATAGCCAGTGGTATCTCACCAGGAATACCATTACCAGGGGTAAGGATTAAAAATTGATATGAAAAATAAGTTTAATAATATTTTTATTTACTTCGCAAGAATTTGAGTCTTCCAAAAGATCCTTCGGTATGTTTCGAATTTTAAATTTATGTGCCAGGCTTTATGAACTTCTTTGTTGTAGATGCCCGAAATTCCTGACACAGAAAAATTGATTAATGATATATTACCAAGCGGAAGGCCGCCAAAAGTGTCTTTGAATGTAAGGATTCAAATGATTTTCTGAATAGTATTTCATTAAGCGTCTTTATTTTAGAATCCAGAGGAAATATCAAAAATCCCGGCAATAAATCCCATAACTCCTGATACGGGTAAAGTAATACCATTGCCTGGGGTAAGAATTGATAGAAATTTCGAAAAACTATTTGTATATAAATTTATTCCTCATTAGAATTCGAGTCATCCAACTATGACCCCAGTATGTATTGTATTCACATCTGAGTTCACTATCATAATAAAAGGCTTCTTTTTAGATAACTGAGGTTGGATCAGAAACTCATCCAATAGTTCCAACACATCCAACAGATAATTTGGTAGGTCCTCCAAAAATCCCCCCACACGAGGTAAGAAAAATAAAAGAACGAATTTTTAACATTTTTTTTACGATTACCATTGTGTCCATTTTTGGGTCCACCAAATTTTTTTAAAACCATACTTGTATACTTTAATACAGGTGCCTGGGCTAAAACCGCCGATTCCTCCAAAAATTCCTGAAACGAATCATTTGGTAAATGGTAGTTTACCCTCCGGAGACTTGATTGATAAATATAACCCACCTAAAATTCCCGAAATTCCTGATACTGATGAACTAATAAATCGCTTATTACCAACCCAACGGCCGACTCAAATACCATTGCCTGGGGTAAGAAGTGATATAAATTTCTAAAAAATCGTATTATCTGCATATTCATAAGTTCTCAATTAGAAACAAGATACGAAAAATAAAAAAAAGTTTAATTTTTTGTTACAATAAGTGCATTCCTTATTACAGATACCTGAGTTAAAGCCGCCGATACCTCCACCACCTCCCTCTAAAATTGAATTACCTAAGGTAAAGATTACACAAAAGTGCTACAAAAACTAAGTTTTTCAGTAAAACTGTTATTTTCAGATGCCGAAGATAATTGAACCCCAAATTCCGATTCCCAAATTGATTAGACCTGAAGACCTATATCCGAAATATACAAATATCCAACCGCTTTTACCCAAGGACATAAAGCCATATAATTTCACCGGTGTTTAAAAACTGATGTATTTTTATAAAATCAAACCTGGTTTAGTTGTGCATTGAGGGCGAGAATAAATGCATATTCAAATGCTTTATTTGATCCTTACCATATCCCTCGGTAATAATCATCGCGGGCTTTTCTCTGATGTGGTTGGGTCACGCAAAATCATATTTTAATTTTATGCAAATTATGCGCTGATTATGCTGTCAGCATCACTGGAGGTTCAGCACATTTCATTATGTATCTACATGGGCATGTACAATGAAATCTCATTCCGTTTTCATTTTGCTGGTCGCCTTTGTTGTTGCCACTGTGGTTGTTGCTTAATCATTTCAAATTTTATATGGTAATTGTTGTTCGGCTGCCTTTGGCATGCAAATGTTTGCCCGATTGCATGTTGACCATTTGTTGTTTGCAAAACAGTTGCCATTGTGATTCGCATATCCTCCCAACACCCCAGCAAATACACTCAACTTCTCCACCTGCCGCATTTGAATTGATTGCTTTTGGTTTGGCAGTCGACTTTGTGGGATAATAATTGAAACTTGCGAAAATGGCGCTCTTGAAGCGATTTATATAGGAATCTGGTTTATTGGAAAGACGGACTGGTTTACATTACTAAAGCTATGGCACTTTCAACTAATTTAACTAATTCAACCAATAATGGTATTAATCATATTTGGGAGCATCTCAAGCCCCCAGTTTTCTACAACTTGTAATTACTAATTAGGCAGACTGGTTTTACATAACTAAAGCTAAGGCATTTCAACCAATCCAACTAATTCAACCAATAATGGCTTAATCAGGTTTAGGAGCATCAGTTTTCTACAACTTGTGAACGAGTGATTATTAAATGCATTATTGATTTAAGGGGTTCCAGCATGTGGAGGCCGAATCTCACTGCCATTATTAATACAAACTTAAATTAAGGCTCATATCCAGGCCGCCGTCATTATCAGGACATGGCAGCAGCGGCAGGATCAACAGGAATACACAAGCAGCAGGTCCTGCCACATCCGACAAATGCAATGCGGGGAAGCGAGGACAACAATATCGAATCGTACAACATTTTGCAGCGGCATAGTCAAAATATCTAACGCACAACAGCTGGAAGACAAAGCAAAGGCGACCAAATCAACGGCAACGGATGCGAGAATGTTTATGCCCATTATGAACAGCGTGGGTTGTGTGGGTGCACTGAGAGAAAAGGAATGAAATTGCTGACAAAAACATCATCGATTCCATGCACAGCAGATATAACGAACCTATCATGATTTCATCAATTATCATTTTCAACTGGAAAGCAATTAGTGTGTCCATTTTCTTTTCGAAAATCAGCATAGAGTCGCCAAAGTTTCGCTCGGTGTACGAAGAGACATGGGTGGATGTGGGCGGGCGGAAAAGGGGTGAATGACGGTGCCAGGCATTCACATACCCATCGCATAAACGTTTTGTGCATTGCAAATCTGTTTGCCGCAGGATCCGACCCAGTTGAAATCCTTCCAAATTATGCACGAAAATTATGTGTGCGAAAGCGAAAATTCCCGCAGACAAACTGGCATTGCGAATATTGCGCATACGACATGTGTTTGGCATATTAAAATGGGGCACATGCCGAGCCATTGAAGGAACAACCATCGACCGGGATGTGCATTGTCATTAGCCCAATTCGCGAATCGCTTTAAGTGCTCACCCCGCCGGCGGATTCAATTGTACGCAATCATTTATCAAATGAGTTTTCACAAAAATGTCACGCAAAATGCAATTTCTGCTGCTTCTGGGAATCCGGCGAAATAAATGATGCCAGCTTGCATTCCAGTTTTAGTGTCATAAGTAAATCCCGGCGGGATAGAAAAATGACTACGAACTGACGTGGGAAAGTTAAAGTTGCCTTGATATAGACTGCTGGCTGGCATTATTACATTGTTGCATAAGACAGGAGCAGAGAAATGCGAAATGCGTGTGTGTGTGTCCTGCAGCCAATAAGTTGCCAGCAGCCGTTGCCATTGCAGCGAATATCCTTTCTGGCTGCCTGACATTTATGTATGTGTATGTGCGCGCATGTGTGCGTGCACATTGGCTGCAGTAACAACTTAAAGCTTTTAATAAAAATGTCAAGCGCATTGAAGTGCATTGAGGAAAGTAGCAGCCAAATGTGCGCACGTCGCTGAAGAGCTGAAAAGGTCAAGATGGGTATAAAGGTACAGAAACATATAAGTTTTTCTTTTAATCTCAAATATGAAACTGCTGCGCTGTATCTGTGTTACATTCATTTCCAGCAATAAGCGCACTTGAAATATTCATGAGTCGTGAAACAATTAAGTGGATAGCTTGACTTATACGTGATATTGTGACACAAACGAAAATCTTATTTAAGTTCGTTAGCAGCACTGCTAACTGTGGTCTCCTTGCGCAACAATTTTCTTTTTGTTTGAAATCCATTAGGCTTGCAGTACTAAACTTTTAAATGCCTTAGTTTGACCTTTTTTGCCAAGCATTGTTGGCCTGACATGTGTCAAATATGTGTTACCAAATCAAGCTGCAGGTCGCATGTGTTCGCCTTTGTTTCACACGACTAGCTCTCGTTTGAATGTTGGCTAACCAAACTGGCCCTAACCGCTCCCCCACCCCCTTCCTTCCGGCCCCTTGGCCCATTCTATTAGCAGGAAAAGGTTGCGAGTGCAGTCAGCTGAAAGGAGGTATGCAAACGTGTTTTCCTTGGCTCCTGCAGTTGGCTGACAGGATGCTGGACCATCTGCAGCAGCTCGGCTGACAATTTTATTGACAGCTCGACATTTAGATTGATTGCAGTTGCAGTTGCAGTTGCGCAATTCCAAACGATAACAATACGTGGTGCAATTTGGCCACCCCTATTTGGCTTCCTTTTCTATTTTCTTTAATTAAAAGTTTAGCCAAATATTGTTTACTTTGGCAGGGAAAAAACATTCGGGAATGTTAAGGATATTTCGGTATGCAATTTTCCTTACAGTTTTGGTTACTTTTTCCTGCTCTTCTGCACCTTTTTGTTTGCTTATTTGCATTCTGACAGGCAATCGTGTAAAACTATTTCAATTTGGCAAACACCGAAGGTAAGAGTTTACTCTTTGCAAAACTTTTACAGAAATTACATTTAAAAAAAAACGCAAATTATAAACGAAATAACCTTCAACCCTTAACTACATTAATTATCGATATGTTTTGTGGCCTCAGAACCTCAATCGAAAACTATTAATACTCATATGTGACTATTAAGACTTTACCCAAACACTTAATGCAAGTGGCGTTAAGTGTTTAAGCTCTAATTAATCAATATCTCTCGGTCTTTTGATTAGAAATTCCCACTTGTCAGCGACTTACTTAGGCATCAACTCATCAATTCTCAGACAGACTCACAGATACATTTTCCAGCTCACACACAAGCCTGTTGACAATTGAAAATGTCCCCGCCCCCCAACCCGCTCACAATTTTCCGCCGACGCCAGGACACATATGTGTGTGTCCTTCCACTCGAACTCGGCGTGGCTGTAAATTATGCATACAAATTAGAAACTACCGTCGGATGGGATGATGTGAACACAGAAATGTTGAATAATAACATTAATGAAAACAATGCAAGGACAGACAAAGCCAAAGTGGGTGGTGGGCTGGAAAAGCAGGGCAGGGCTGGGAAAAGGACAAACAACTGCAGGAAGCAAAAGCAAGCAGAAAATTAAACAGAACAAAGCAGTGGAAAAGCAGATGGCGACAAGATAAACACATACACTTCATCCATCTAGTCATGCACTCTCCAATACGTATAGATACACTGCAAAAAACATGATTATGATTTGATTCAGGTATACTTGCATCACAAAAAGCATATAAATATAAGCAACAGTTTAGACTTAATTATTTATGCCTTCTGACTTTTTCCAGTGCACTTGCACTTTAAGCAATCGCAGTCAGTGCTAAAACGAAACAGACAGTACAGCAAGCTCTATAAATTTGATATGCTCCTGCTGCCGCTTAGCAACGTCACAATAAAAGCAAGGAACTAGACGGAAAAAAGGACGAAATCCCATCAGCTTGGATATGTCTTTTAAGTAATACTTGTTAGGCAACAAAACACAAATAAAATACTTAAATAGCAACGGAGAAGGCAACAAAACAAATGAAACAGCTGAAACTACAGAAACTACAGACAGTACAAAGTTTTAAAACTGCATATGTATGGGACCAGATACATTTTGGCAACAGAAAGGTATATAGCTCCAAATCTGTGATTATTTTTGCATGTTAACTAATTCCCTCTTTTGTCCTGGCAACGGGGAAAAAATACATTTCGTTCCGAATTCTGCTTTGTTGGGCGGATAAAATGTGGCAACAGCAGGTGTGCTGTGAAAACATTCTAATAAAAATGTGTTACCACTAAAACAATATTTAGGCGTCAGGGAATAATAAGCAATGAAATATATTGAATAAGTGGAACACAGATGCGTTAAAGCGATCAAAATCGCATGAATACACCCCTAATTTCATCGTTCACAAAGCTTTCTTCGAAAGTCTTTCATTTTCGGCTCTGCGGTTTTGGTTTCGAATGTGCCGCAAATGAGACATGAAATTACTGACCCCACGACCACCAAGTCAAAGTCACCTATTGCGGCTGGTTTTGGCCAGGGAAAGCCGCTCGCTTATTCATCGGCAACCGCAAATCTTTTATTTGACTTCGGGCAACTCCAACGTGGCATGACTCTTACTTTGGAACAGTTTCAGCCACTAAAACAGAGCAACAATGCCCCAAAATGCGGTTTTGGAACTGAATATGAGTGGGGGAAAGGTTATCGTGCTAGGTGAGTTGGCGTTTTGCTTTTGCAAAGTTTTTTAATTAATTAAGAAAAGTCTAACTGAGAAGTTGGGGCAATTAAATGTCAGTTAAAGTCACAGCGGCGAAAAGTACAAAAAAGAAAAATATGATAGCAGAAAAGGCGAAACGACAACGAAAATATTTAATAAGTCACCAAAGATGACGCAGTCACGTTTTTTTGGTTCAGCAGGGAAAAGACAATATGGGGATGAGTTTTTTGGGCATACGGATGCGCCAGCTGACGGCCCACATATGTGAAACAAATAT